TAAGGAATGAACTATATTTTTATATAATTATTTCGACCACTATATGTATAAGCGCCAATCTATTATTAATATTAATACCTCCGGTACAAAAAAACATATCAGAATAAATTAAAAAAACATTTTGAAGGGAAAGAGTTATATTTTTAAATCTCACATCGAGATTTCTAAAAAAAAAAATGCAAGGCGAATTCATACAAGTTGGTAGCGCCAGCACAAAAACAAAAAACTACACTACTAAATTATACGCCCGATGACAATCAGAACGAAAAAAAATTACAACAAACACATCATTTTGGCAGTCTGCGCAATTCGCCTTGAAATCAGCTGCTCTGATAACACCACCTTATGTGAATTCGCCTTGAAAAAAAAAGTGTGTTAAGTAGCAATCAAGGTGAATTCGGTAAGGTGATAGGGTGGTGTGGGGGCGACAGCCGAATTTTTCGCCATGGAAATCAAAACGTCAAAATGATGTGTTTATTGTAATTCATACTGTCATTAAGCGTACAATTTGTTGGTGTAATTTTTTAGGTATGTATATACGGCTCCTACCACCTTAATTAATGCGCCTTCGTAGGGAAGCAATTTTACGGCGAATATTGCAGAAAAATCAGATTTTGCATAGTCAGGTTTGAATACCTCGAAATTCTTGGATAATGAAGCAAATCTAATGAAGCATTCAAATTCAGCGCACCTCTAAAAACAATATTGTCTGGTCTCTGGCCAAAATCAAAATTATGCCTGATTGTTGGTTTTTTTTCGCCGAAGGTGTTGCGAGTTCTTTCATATAAGAACAAATTGTGTTTTTAGTCGTTATATGGAAGCAAATGCGACAAAAAAAAAATTCTAAGAAATCAACGATCATTTTTAGCCACTTGAAACCTGCACATTATAAGACTAAAATTGAATGGGCTGCGAAACTGTGCACTCGGAAAAATTCTAACACTTCTGAAATAAAAATTTGAAATTTGAGTGAAAAGATGAATTTTTTTGTAGTCTTAAAAAAGATTTAAACTTGCGTTCACATGAGTTCTGTTAGAGAATGAACTGCATTTTAATTGAAAATTCTTAAAAATAAATAATTAAACAAAAATAGCAAACAATATCACTTTGAAATGGGGGTGCCATAGATATGTCCAATACTGTATGTACATATGTATGCATGTAAGTACTTTTACTTACACTTCATGTGTATGGTCAACAGCGCCAACTGAGTTCGGTGATTCAGGAACGCCTAAATGTAGGTACCATATGGAAATGCTATGATATAGTGAAAAGAATAAAGAAGGTCATTTAATAGAAACATAAGAGTACATACATTACATACTCGTTTGTACTTATGTAATGCACTTGTATTTCTCTCAAATGAAGGTAATTTTACCCTAATTAAACCTACCACTAACGAAAAAATTGTATTTAATGCTCCGAATCATGGGCCATAGAAACACAGTTGAGGGCAATTGTATTTCGAAGGGGATCGAATGTAATGCACAATGTACCAGTTCTTTGATTTTGTTTTGTAATGCAAAATGGGCCATTTGACCTGCTTCTGGTTTCTATGATATATAGAAAGGAACAATTGGTGCTCAGCCTCAGACACGAATTGTTAAATGTAAATAGGCCTTCACGCATGTTTGGTCCAAGTTAGTAACTGGTTACAAGAATTTAGCTCTAGTTAGTCTAACCCGATATCCTACGGCGAACTGTGCACAAAACTAACACATTCACGGATCTACAAGAATAACCAACCAGCAAAAAATCCGAAAAGGAAAATAAAGTGGATGAAATGCGGATTTTTGTTCATTTGACAATCCGTCCCAGCCAGCAAAAAATCAAAAAATTTATCCGAAAAGTAAAAAAAGTGGATGAGGTGCGAACTTTTGTCCGTTTACCGATTCCATTTTCGGATACTTTGACGATTTGTTTTCCCACTAAAGTGTGCGGCAGAAACGTACGTACAGATAAGTTCACAAACACTCTTAAGTTATTTAATTTTTAATGTTTATTGTTAAATAGTTTTGAGTTTACGAAGGATTTTCTTTAGTAAAATTCTGTCGTAAGTGTCATTTGTCCACAATTTGGCAGTCACTTTGTATGAAATACGACAAAATGTGATAAAATTTTCTACTAAATTAACGACTTTTTTTACTCAATATCTCGGAAACTAAAAGAGATATACAAAAATGGAGAACAACATTTCTAAGATATTGATTAATTTAATATGACTGCATCACTAACTAAATTTTTACTAAATTATCGAAGAAATTTTATTCAATATCAGGGAAACTAAAGGAGATATCTAAAAACAGACAACACCAATCGAAAGAACTTATTTCAAAATATATTTGCATCTAGAACTAAAAATCGTCAAAATGGCCCTTACGACAATCTTTTACCCAGGCGACGATAAGTACCGAAAATTGAAAAGGATATGTACTTTTTTGGCTGTTTGCTGAAATTTGTCTGATTGAATTTTTCGTTCAATACGCTTTCCTTCTGCACTTCACAGATCTTTTTTCATGGTTAAAAAAATAAATAAATAAGATTAAATTAAATTAAGGAAGCGCCTGACGGGATTCGAACACGACACCTTCTGGAAGCTAACAAATAGCGGCACGCTCCTCTGCAAATGTTTAGCTTGAACAAATTAAATACAATTATTGCTTTCAAATAACATCATCTTTTTCGAACGTTATCCGGACACGAAAATGAATGATCACTGTAGTAGTTTTCTATTTGTTTCCGGATACGAAAACCACCATTGTTTTGTGGACGTGAATTAATGAAAATTGTAGTCGCTTTCTATTCGTTTCCGGGAAATTGACTAGACTGCACTGTCGGCAAAATTTAAGTTTCTTTGCTGGCTGGGGTTTTCCACTTTTGAGGCTTTCCTTCTGTGCTTCACAGATGCTTTTCCATGGTTTGAAAACAATTAAAGAAGCGTCTGCCAACTAGGTATGTATGCTTTAAAATGTTCAGCTTCGAACATATAAAACGTCATCTTCTTCGAACGTTTTCTAGTACGAAAACGAATCAAAATTGAAATAGTTTTCTGTAACCGCGCCTTATTTTGAACGTTTTTTGATAAGAAGAATTGTATGAGATCCCACTGTCGGCAAAAATTACGTTTTTCTGCTGGCTGGGAAATCAACGTCAAATGACACTAATACATATAGAAGCCGCTACTGACGCATATATTTTTCTAATTTTATTTTATTCGTTGTGACGAAGAAAAAAAACTTAGATTTGTTTCTTAACAGATAATTATCACTAATTTCTGCTGGAAACCCAAAAAACTAGCAGCTCTCTCTCGATCTTACGCTCTTCCTTTTTTGGTTCTGCTAATTTCTGCTAGTAAAATTTTTACTAGCAGAAACTAGCAACTGTCAAAATGGATACAAAAAATATTTTCAATAGTCAAATATACCGATCAGCTGATTACTTGCTAGTTTTGCGTTTCTTTACTTTTTCGTAATTTCGCTCTCTGTGAGCGTAATTCTTTCAATTTTCTTATTCTTCTTCTTTCTGATAATTATCTGCTAGAAAAGAAAAGAAACAAAGCCCTTGTGTTGCATAACTTTTCTTGTGTGTTTTGGGCCAATAAACATCTTTAAGTATCGATATAAAAACAATATTACTATCGGTATATCGATAAGAGCAGATAAAGGAAAAACAAACTTCTGTGTTAAAGTCGAGGCACATTAAACGTGCCTTGGTTAAAGTACACAGTTTATTAATAAGTTCGTCTTGTTTCGCAAATTTATTTAATATTAAAAAATAATAATGTTGGTTGGAAAATGTTTTCCTTTTCAAATTATACAACGCAGTATAACATTACTTACAGCAAACCATATACGAGTGCATAACCATAATAATGAGGAAGGTAAGAATGTTGACGAATTGCTGCGACCGGATATTCTGTTATCAGAGGAAAACAAATTACGTTCAATACAATGTATGGAAAAATCGACACCAGTTGGATTAAGGTCGTCTAAGACAACTCGCGAAAAAACATTCGCTGCCGTCCTCATTTGCCTCTGCACAAATGAAAGGGTAAGCTTAGTAAATGCATCACCAAAAATATTAACATAGGGAAATGCATGCACATTCGCTCGAATTTTGCAGCGTTTAAAAGTCGTTGGCAGTCCCCAATTAAGTACATTTAACTTAAAAATACAATAAAGATTTCGGAAATAATGCGCGAATAAAAAGTTTGTAGAATCCTCCTAAATTCACTAACAGCTGATTGATAACAGCCAAATGTTTAACCCGCCATTTAACGTGTAGGGTGTATAAAACCGCAGCGGACGAGTTATGTAGTGCATTTTCCTCCATATAAAAATTTCTTTTGTTCATCCTTTATATGCCGGGCTATATTTATCTAAACGCTTAAAATTGATTTTTTTTTTGTTTATTTTCTTCGACCCTGGTTATATGGAAGAAAATGCGCAACACCCGCCACAAAAAAAAATCAACGGTAATCTATAGGTACTTGAAACTTGCACATTATTATTCTAAATTTGAATGGGCTACAAAACTAAATTTTTTTAAATTCTGAATAAAAACGGTTTAATTTTTATGAAAGTTTCTTAAAGTTTGAATATTTTTTTGAATTTTGTACAAGGTTTGCAAGATTGATTTACACGGTTATTGTTATAGAATGAGCTATATTTTAAATAAAAAATAATGAAAAAGATTTATGATAGAAAACATTTTGAATCTTGTGAAAATACTAAATTACGAATACTTATGTGAGTGACTGTATATGCAAATGCATGCACCTAGCTGAATAATCCTGCGGTCGCTCCTTTTTTAAATATTGACAATGTTTTTTATGTCAAAACATTTTCGTAAATTTTTTATTAAATATGGTTCATGCTATAACAAATACCATATAACAGGCTAACCTAATATTCACGGCTTGCGTTTTGGTACGCATGCCGTCGAATTTGTTTTTTTGCGTCACCCGAAATTGACTTGCATGCGTTTGCATTTGATTTCATTGAGCGAAACGTCAAATCAAAATGTCACGCAGAACAAAAATTGGAAATTGAGTTAGCTTCATACGCACGCCGTTCAATTTCGGTTGATCTCATACAAGTTGCATGCGCATGAGAAATTTTTGACAATAAATTGGCGGCGTGCGTGAATATTAGGTTAGCCTGTAAAGCAGTGATCTCACGATTTATACATTAGTACAGATTTGTACATTTTGACAGTTACAGGGTGGCGTTTAGAAATTTTGATCGAGAATGAGTTCAGCTGAATAGAAAAAATCCCAACAACTCCACTCTGTAACTGTAAAATTGTGCAAAACTGTCCAAATGTACAAATCGTGTGCTCCCTGCTTAAACAAATTTTCATCCAAATTTTAAACTTTATAATCAGAACTTTCAAAAAATTCGAATATCGTTTGTTAGCGTTTTAAATTTTAGTAAAATAATGTGATGAAGTAGTTAAAAAATTATTGAAAATCAAGGCGCATTCTTAGCCACTTCAAAATTCACACATTGTTGTACTAAATTTAATGTGATCAAAACTGCTTACTCGATTTTTTTTTTAATCCTCATAAAAATTTGAAATTTTGGTGAATATCTTGCTTAGTTTCCGCTTAAGTAGACGCATATGTTTTTTCTACATTTTGCGAAAAATTGCAATTTTTAAACTCTTCTGATATATTTCGTTATTTGAGTAGTGACAATCTTTTAGTAAATGAAAATAATAGTGAACATTATATTAGAACAAGGTGTACACTTACATTTGACACTGACTGCATATACCTACATAGAGTGTAAAATGTAAGTGGACACCTTGTTCTAATATAATATTCACAATTATTTTCATGAAAAATGTTGTTCGTTAATTATTTATGAAAATATAGTTCATTCTATAACATAAACCATTTAAATATAAGTTCCACACTTTATATGAAGTTCACGAAAATTCAAACAATTTTAACCAAAATTTCCAGAAAATTTTCGAGTAGGCACTTTTTGTTCGGAATTTCTAGAAAATTTTCGAGATGCTGGTTTTAACCCGTTAAATTTTAGTAAAACAAAGTACAAGTTTCAAGTCGCTAAAAATTACCGTTGATTTTTTAGAATTTATTTTTTGTGGAGGGCGTTGCGCATTTTCTTCCATATAAAAAGAGATGTTGATCGCTCGTTATATGGAAGAAAATGCGCAACACCCTCCACAAAAAATAAATTCTAAAACTTCAACGGTAATGAAATATGCACTTTTTTTGACTAAAATTGAACGGTCTACAAAACTGCAAACTCGAAAATTTTCTGGAAATTTTAAATACAATTGTTTAAATTTTGATGAAAATTGTTTGAACTTTATAATAAAGTGTGAGACTTATATGGTTTATGTTACAGAATGAAATACATAAATAATCGATGAAGCAAAATGTTCATGAAAATAATTGTGAATATTATATTAGAACAAGGTGCACACTTACGTTTGGCACAGACTGTATGTGTGCCAATCAAAGCGACAATAGTTTTACAAATTGACCCAGGGAAACCCGGCTAAAAACCAGACACTGCAAAGTTAGTTCACGACACAAAGAGAAAAAATGTATTGAGCCTAAATAGTAATTGGAAATGATCATCAAGTAATCAGTTAAAGAAGTTATAATTATTTATTTATATTTTTTTTACAGAAAGAGATCTCAATACTTTATACCCGCCGTTCCGGTCGACTCTCTAGGCATGTTCGACAAATATCTTTTCCTGGTAAGCCGGTTAAGTTTGTTGTAGTTTTCTCTTGCTAAACTCTGTTGTATCCAGGTGGCATAAAGGATCCTGAAGATGCGGATTTCATAGATTGTGCGTTGCGCGAAACTGAAGAGGAGATCGGTTTACCACGCAGACGCATAAATGTCTGGGGAACAGGCAACCTTATATCACCGCCAAATACTGCCGCTATAATGCCCGTTGTGGGCACTGTAGAAAACTTTACTTTAAAAGAATTAAAACTCAATGAAGACGAAGTAGAGGAGGCATTGGTAATACCTATTAAAGAATTGGTACATCCAAAAACTATAAAACACACTCAATTTAAATCAGGTTGGAGTACCCCAAATTTCGTAGTCGGCCAGAATAAAGTTTGGGGCATTACAGGCTTCATAACAAATACTTTTCTTCAATGCCTTATTCCGACAGATCTAAAGAGACTTAAACATCATGTCAAATACATTCGTCCCTTTAAGATAAAACATTGACGAAAAATCTAAAAAAAAAAAAATTGTAAATACGACTTTATGTATTGTAAGAAACCTGTTATTCTAAGAGATTAATTTAATGTTGTCAGGTTTTGTAAGAAAATAAACCAAATCAATAATCGGATAAATATATGTAAGTACATACCAGACATCTGCAGCGGGTGCATGATTTTCGTGTATACTCGATCATCTAACAAAACCCGCTTTGCATCGTTCTCTGTATACGAGCAGAAGTATTGTTCGTTATCGACTGAGCTCAAGACGAACATGTTGGCCACAACACCCGATTGCTTTTCATACATACTTGATTGGGTTCGGGTGCTTTGCACCTCAATATACCCGGGTGTTCGAGTTTCAACCCGAGTGTGCACAAAATTTTCTTGATTGGCTTATGACGTTTTTGTTTCTACAAAAAATGTTGCCTTCTCATCGCGGTGCTCTTAGTTTTTGTGCGTAGAGGGTAAAGAGAAGGTTGAATTTTTCGGTAGTTTGTTTAAGTATACATTTAACCATTTCTTATATTTTTGCTCATACAAAACGCGGCATCACGACGCCTACATCCATTTAGGTATAAATGTGTGTAGATCGGCAATGCCCAAGCCCTATACACTCGGAGCACATTTATTTTTTGTAAAAGTATTTATGTACCTACATAGTTTTAGGCTGTGTTCTAATATATACACACACAGCTTTCCACGCGAAACTATACGAAATAGATGCAAACACATTTTTTGTCTACTTCGCTTCTAATTTTTTCATTGCGTATGCACAAGCACAAAGCAACAACATTTTCGTATGCTTTGTGGGAACATATTGGCGCCAGTTACCTTCAGCGTAAATTTCTTTGTTGTCCTGCATTTTATCGCAATGTTCGGGTGTCCGTTTCATTGTTACACAAATTTTCGGGTTAGCTGCGGGTGTCCGAGTGTGGTGTTCGCTTGTGCTCAATTTATAGCGAGGGTGATCGAACAGACTCGTTCGTAACCAAAGCAGCTGTCGGGTATGCATCTCGATCGAACACATAGTAGCCGAGTGTGGCGTTCGCTTGTGCTTGATTTTTAGTGAGTGTGATCAAAAAGGCTCGATCATACTCAAAGCTGTTCTCTGGTACATACCTTTCTTCAGCTACACACTGAAAACCTGAATACCGAAGAGCTAACTTGGTGTGGAGTTCTACTAAAAAAATGGTTCATCAGATTGGGGCGAAATTATTGTTTGTATGTACCTATATCTAAACAATTTCATGAACGGTGGGCAAAAATCTATGCCCCTCAATGGGCTTGCGATTTTGATCCAAACGTTAATTTCGAATTGTTGAAGTGTTAAGTCTAACCTATGACTTAACTCAAAATAAAAACATACAAATGCATTTTTGTGGTATCAAATATGTACGAAATTTTATTTGTTTTATTTGATGAATATATAATCTGTATATACAAAACAATTGTATCCTATTTTTAAGTATGTTTGCATAGCTATAGATATAAAATAATACGGAGAATAGTTCACATTTCCTAATGGATTTAATTTTAATTTTTGACTTCTTATTTCAATTGTAAACGGTGTAACGTATTGCGTTTAATAATTTAATGTACTTGATTTTGATGTAATGGCATACTTGCTTCATTATAATTTGAACTTTTTAAGTCCTCGTCAATCTTGGATTCTTTGTTAAATACTTATCGTAAACATTAAAAAGTATTTCTAATGAATGCAATTAAATCAAACGTTGGCAACAAATCAAACTTAATTAAAAATAATCGCACTTAGTGTAAATATTTTTCAAATACTTATGCCCATTTATCAAAAACGACGTCATTGAACTGTGCTCACATTGCCAATTAAATACAAAAACAAACTTTACTAAGAAATATAATTGAAGAGCAACATTCGACGTTTTCCTATGTAATTGGCGCAACTGCATACGCATATTGAATATTTTTTTGATCTACTGTAGAATAGTGTACTGTGTGTATTTATGTTCTTCTTAGGAATACACCCATATAGTACATAAAAAATATGTTTTAGTTTTTATTTCAATTATATTATTAAAAAATGGGAATATTATTTTATGTTTCACATGTTATTTTGTAAGTGGGTATACGCAAGCGTGTATTATAAATTGGAATTATTTTTTGAAAGCAGGGGCGTGGCTTCTTAATGCTATACGGTCTAAGGTTATAGCAAGCTAACGTTTCAACTTGCTCTGGTCATATTACACCACATACAAAAGATCTGCATTACTCAGTAATATCGATCGGAATGGAAGTAGTAAACGTAGGAGTTTCAAGCTCCTCATGCTTTTTCATTTTTAGCATCTGAAAAAAAAAAGTGTCAAAAAAAAATTCTGTTTACGTAAATAAAATATGGCAGCACTCACCTGCTGCAATTTATAGTGATTGATGATGTCCTGATCTGCAGGGCACGATTGTGTGAAGGCATCCAATTGGTACATGTGATACATGTAACGCCATAATGCGGTGAAATGTGTCTGTAAAGCAAACAATTAAGCTATCCTTCTTTAAATTGAATATATACAGTGGTGGCCACATAATTACTTCTATTATTTCTTTACAAGCGTTACAGCCAATTGCACGAAAGCAATTTAAGTGAAAAATGTTAGAACATACATATGTATATGTTTTCTTTATTTATTTTTCATTTATTTTTTTTTTTTTACAAAAATATAGCCTGAAAAATTTGGAAGCTTTAAAGCAGACATAATTCAAAAAATGAATGATGGCCGACGAATCGAGCGAACGGTTGTACCTTGTAACATTTGTGTCATGGTTTACATCCAACGAAAACCAATTAACTCAAAGTTTAAAAGTTGATAAAAAATCACTTTCTTAAAACTATTTAACATCGGAAGGCCTGCCGAGTTTTTCTACTTTATTTAAATGAACAACAAAAAATAACCAAATTTCACAACATGGTCATCAAAATATTTCTATTTAGAATTTCTAGAAAAATTTCGGGTATGCTATAAAACTGCACCCACTCGAGTTTTAAGCGTTAATTTTTGATTTTTTTTTTGTTGACGTTGCTAATTTTCTCTCATAAAAAAAAATTACTTTGTATGGAAGAAAATGCATAACACATAATAAAAGAAGAAAAGGTTTGTAATTTTGAGTCGCATTGTCCTCGTTGCAGTATAAAGTATACTTTTCTAAAAAATTTATTACTAATAAATAAAGAAAAAATAATTATGTGCCTACCGCCGCATTTTCATTTTTTTCTTTCAATTTTGTTATTTACCGGTATTTCAAAGTCCACAAAATATTTGCCTGCCACGCGGATATGCTGCAGTCGCGGCATAAGTTCACAATCAAAACAGCACATAGTGTCGCCGGTTAGGAAACGGGTATTTCGATTAGCCAAGTGGTCATTGATTTTTCTTAAGTGGCTCAACAAGGCATTGTTCTTGGCTTCATCCTTCTTTACCAACATTAATTTGAGCTTCACGTACAAATTCTCGATCAGTGTTGCCACTTCTTTATCCTGCAAGCAAATAGAAACATGAACATTAAAAAGGGTCTAGTCTTACTTTGAAGAAAAAAAAACATTTGTTTTACCTGTACAAATAAATTGTAACCGCCAGGAATATTCTTCATGATATGCCTTTCAATTTTGTCATTTTCAAGGATTGCTAATCCATTATCGATTAGAATAGGCGGGTGTGTCGCCTCGAAGTTGGTGCGAAAGTCTGGAGGTGGCTTTTGCATGTCAACCGTTGTAACCTTAATTTTGTAAATAAACACGTCGTTATGTATGTATACATACATACATATGTATGTAATTCCATGATACAAAATGTATGATGAACTAATAAAGTTTATAATTTTCTCACCTTCAAACTGATAGTTTTCAGTTCTGCCAACAGATACAAATCCATAAAGTACTCCTGGCAAAAGAGGCAAGCACCCTTTCGCCTACCGTCGATTGTAGATGCCTGGAATATAGATCAATCGCATTGCAAATATAATTAGTTCGTTTTTACGAGCAAAAAAATTCCATTCCAACCACAAGCCCCAGACTTATTGAGAAAAAGTTTCTTTATGATATTTGTTTTGTGAATCTAAAATCGCTTTAAATGATTTGTTAGGATGAGCAGACACGTAAACACATATGTATTTCAATCCATTTTAATGAGCTGCATTCATGTATTATATGTAGTATATACATATTTATGCAAATACAATAGCGTAATCCTGCAACCTTTTTTTGATCAAGAAAGTTTCTTCAATATTTTATGATCTTTTCCTAACGATGCATTGTGATGAATATTGTGAATCTTCTTCGAACAGTGATCAGTACATAAACCCTTAAAACAATTGACACGCTAGGTGGCACTGCAGATAAAACTTGGATTTTAATAATTTTTAAAACTTATAAGTGCATATTTATTTCTTTTATTTCTATTTGGCTTTAAAACCGTTTGTCGCTTTGGGTCGATACAAAAAACTTCACCTATTGTCTCTTTCCTTTGCGGATTTGCGCCAGTTGTTCATCCCAAGTGCGGATAGGTCCTTTTTTATATCACACAAAATATTTTACCTATACAACCCACTAAAATTTCATTGATTTCGGGCCAGCCATTTAGGGATGCACTCAAAAAATGCATATGTATAAAATTGCACACATTTGCTGATAGTAATAATAAGGACAGGAAGTTAAGTGGCTGTTAAACTTGGCAAGTGTAAGTCCTTTTCGAAAGCCTGTCCAACTTCAGAATTTCCAAAAGAGATTGCAGCATCAGTCACACCTTGCATGTAAAGTGGCTTTCGAAAGCAGTTTTTATTTCTGAAAATCAAACTTTCCGATACTAGTTTTTTTTCGTTTACAAAAAAAATTAATTACCTGAAAATGAACTAAAAATGCTAAAATGTGCTTGCGCAGTCACAAAATGTCCAATGCATTAATACTTGACTACTTCATATCAGTAGATTAAAGTTAATAATTTTAATAATCTCATACAAATTCGCAAAAAAAAACGCCTCACACGGCAACACTCGATTGGTTTGACAGCACTTTTAACAAAAATGAAAATTGCTAGTGCGGTAGGAGCAAGTTGAAATTATTTCTCGAAAGCAATTTGCGTTCTTTCAGTTGCAGTTGCATTTTACAATTGTTATTTCGTAAAGTGTTCTCTGCAAATCTGCAAAAAGGACTGTTTGGGCGGTTACTCGAGAAAGTGCACTTTCGTTTTCGCATTTTGACAGCAAAATGAGTAGAAAAAGCGCTTGCATTGCCACGTTTAACCGTACGTTTATTCATACTCATTTTGATATATTGAATAGATAGTTATTTATATTTTTCACAAATTTTATTAAACAAATGATAACATTAGTCGACAAGTGCTCCGACCTGTTTCATTTAACCATCATTTCTTATGTAAAATTTTCCGTTAAATTCGAGTAAGAAATTAATTAAAAAATAGCCGAACAATTTTTGAGAAATAACCAAATTTCCGTTTTGTTGAGATTTAAAAAAGTACCTTCACTTAATTGCAAATTTTATTGAAGTAGTTAACCAATATCGAAATTTCTTTTCTTCGAACCGGTTTAGGAGCTATTGATTGATTTATCGACAATTTTGCATAACTTCTTTCGGTAAAAACATCAATTTGAAGAAATGTGTTTAATTCCTGTTTTTTTTTTTTTGTAGGGGGCGAAAGTGTGATCTTTTTCTCATGCAATAAGACTCTGCTTATCTAAAGTGAATAATAAATGTAGAAGTTATGAGCACTTAAGAAAAAGTACATACAAAAGGACTCTATACAAATTGACTATTTATGAATTTGTCTATATGTATGTCAAAAACTGTTCTACTTTCTTATATTTATGCTGGTTTCGGGAGAATACCCGACAGGAATATTTCACATTAGAATTCATATAAAAAAAATTGCAGTCGGACAATTTTTTTATTTCTGTAAACTTGTGTTATCAAAAATGTATTCAAACTTTATAGTTTTATAATGTTTTATTAAACAATCAATGGCATTCAAACAGTGAGATCCAAAACAACAAAACTAAACTTGTGTTATTCTAAAAGTTGATTCATTAATGATTGCTCCAAACTTTCTTCTTCACTATCTATAACTGTCACCAAATTTGCAGAACAAGTAGCTGATTTGTCCGGTAAGTTCATTTCCTTCTCCAGAGATTCCTCTTTTATCCCTAAATCCTCGAACGCGTCGCAAGCATTATGAACCCCAATTTCCTCGAGACCATTCGAGAGCTCCTCTACCGCGCACTCGGCACTTCGTTCGTTACCAGCAGCAGTTGTCGCATTTTTTCGCCGTTTTATGAATCGCCATAATGTTGTAAGTGGCAGGGAGAAAAATTCTGCAGCAAAACGTACTGACATACCGTTTACGACGTGGCCACGATATGCCTGCTTTAAACGTTCCTGAGCTCCATGATCAACCACATCTTTATTGCCATTCCTTATCCATACAGGCGGCAATAGCCCATTGTTCTTAAGTCTTGTCTTATGCAAATGAACGGTCGACTTGGGCACATGCAAAGCGCGCGCTATTTCCGATATTTGTATACCAGCCTTCAGTTTACTCTGAATAAGTTCTTCTAATTCCTTGTTAGGTTTTCGTCTTTTGCGCTTGGGATGTTTAGCCACGCGTGAGGACACTGTTGAACGTACCACATTAAACCGCTTTGCTGCCTCGCCAAGGCTGATGCCATCTTCCAGTACGGCATTGGCTGCAAGTCGAACCGCTTCGGAGTTATGCTGTCGCTTCTTTCTATTAGCTAAATCGCCACAACAACCAGCATCTGTGCTAGGCTCAACTATGTTATTATCACTGTCGTCATTGTACGATCGCAGGTCGTTTTCGATTTCATCGAAAATTCCTTCGCACGCCTCGGCTACCATCGCAGCGAAATCTAAATTGCTAACAGGACTACTGCCGCGTGCATTCTTATCTTTCACTGTTATTTCTTCTGTTATACGATTTGGAGAAAATGGAACTCTATTCAACTGACTCAGGGAAAGTCGATCCTCAAGCCTTTCATTGTTGAAATTATCACTTTGCAGGATGGCTTCTGTGTGTAATATGTTCTCCTCTTGCTTCGGCTTTACATATTCGAAGTGAAAATGTTGATTGTCGTAATGAGTGAGCATTAGAACACGATCACTCTCTACTGATTCATTGTGGTGCATTGGCAAAATATCTTTGCGAGAAGAGAGTGGTGGTTTTTCGTTGTTTACAGCCTTCTGCTCCTTTAGATGTTGGTGGCTCTGCTGTTTGGGTTGTACTTTCGATTGAACGATATTTTCTTTTTCATCTACATCGCTTGAGTTTTCGTCGGTTGCTACTATGTTGATTCTGCTCTCGTTTGTATTCCCCACAAATTCATTATCAAGCATATATTCTTCCTAGAAAGGGGCAGAGGATAGTGAAAGCATACTATTAGGGGATCACATCTTGTCAATATGATATCTTTGTTTATACGAGTATAATTTCTACACTGAGTCATCCCCATCATGGGACTCACTCGATCGCAAGCATTACAGCTAGAGCGACATTTGTTGAAAAGCGCCCCCGCAACATTTTTATTGTACATGTAGGTATATACTAGTAAGTTGATATATTTACATGCTCATCCAAGCAATCAAACACTCACTTATTTTCATATATCTTTTAAGGTACTTTTCATACATACAAGTACATACATTATTATATTTTATGTGCAATATGCTTTTGCTTTGGTTATAAATTTAATTTTTAATTTTTATGCCACTTTAGCAAATTCCAATCCTTAAAATTAAATATTTATTTATTATTTGGTTAATTATACTGCGCTTAATTATGGTTATTACTTTGAACGGCTATTTAGTAGCATTTGCGAGTTGGTTGATAAAAACAAAAAAAAAAAAAAAAAAACGAAAAACATAGGCTATGCAATTAATATGTTAATATGTTAACGAACATGCAGTGGTAGGCAAACAGGTGAATCGCAGAGGGGAGGGCCAGCGGCAAAGAGTAGCAAGCGATTGCACTGTGTTTTCTATAAAAATCATCCGCCGTTCAGCATGGCATTAGTTACGTCTATTCCGGTACGAGTCATTATAGGAAGTCATTCGCGTGGGCGAGAAACTTAGCAATTCTTCTCAATCAGAATCAGTTACAGGATTTAGCTAGAAATTTTTCTTCTGGTAAATTCATGACAAGTTTCGATCGATCCGCGGAATTGCATTTCTCGTTTGCATAACAAAAAGGGATGAAACCAAATGCTGTACGAATATCTGCATTTAATTGTTTTGGTCCTCTTAAATTCTGCGTGTTTCTCCCGTTTGAGAATTCCAAAGGTTTTCGTTGATAAAATACAGTAGCAGATTAAATATATAGCTCCTTTCAAAATTACTAACTGAAGGACTTTTACATTCTTAGATGCATACCCACACCCACTAGAAAATATTTTTGTCCAATATTCATAATTCGGGTATTCACACCTGCCTGGGTATGTGGTTATATGGACATACATGGCTTAATTGATTTCTCTTTTCATTCTGAGCATTTATGTATAGATACATTTGTCTATATCTATCTCGATTCGTTTTGGCTGTTACCAACAACCGTTATGCGAACAAAGTTATAATACCCTTGGGTACAAGTGCGCTCGGGTATAAAAATCGAGATCCACCCATAAATAAACAGAAGAATCAAATGCAAACTTGCAGTAAAGAGCAAAACAGCAGGTTGCCTACATATAAACTGTGCAACCCGCTATTTGGCCTTCTATACTTCAACTTCTAAACGGTTATTTGTGTTTGCTATTACATACCTAAATATGTATGTAGTATGTACATACGATATTTGCATTGCTCATCAATTCTTTAATGAGTAGGCGAAGTGCCGGCTGAGTGTTCAAAACATCCAAGTATGATGATGTCATGCAAATGTGCTTCATAAAATGTTCACGCCAAAAATACAATTGAAGAAAATTAAAAGAAACACTACGCTGTGTTAATGTGGCAAATACATGTGTGTACATACAGGTGTACAGTGGCGTTCAAAATAATAGCAGCAAAATTCAAAACAATGCTGTTGGCAACTTATCTTTATTTATTTTAATAATTTTCATTTAAATAAAAGTTTCAAAGCATGCACAAAGTTCACAAAAACTAATTAAGCTTAAAAAATGGTCATCAAAATTAAAATTTTTTTAATTAGATTTCCTAGAAAAATTTCGAGTATGCAGTTTTATAGCCCCTTCAAGTGCAAGTTTCAAGTCGCTAAAAATTACCGTTTATTTTTTAGAATTTTTTCGGTGGAGGGTATTGCGCATTTTCTTCCATATAAAAGTAAGTAAATTTTGTTCATGCGTTATTACTAAAATTGAATGGGCTATTAAACTGCATACTCGAAATTTTTCTAGGAAATCTAATTAAAAAAAATATATAAATTTATAATAAAATAAAATGAACATTTTTTAAGTTTAATTAGTTTTTTGTGAACTTTGTGCAAGCTTTGAAACTTTTATTTATGTGGTATCTGATATAGATCAACTCATATTTTAAATGACAATTATTAACAATAAATAAATAAAGATAAGTTGCCAACAGCACCATTTTGAATATTGCGGCTATTGTTTTGCCCGCTGCTGTACATGCATACATATGTGAAGATACCCAGCTGTATTCAGATTTGGCGCAAAGCTTATTTAAGCCACATCATTATACTCGCGGGTGCTTGCCACTTTAATAAATGGTTACTAAAAATCTGTTTTCTGTTTGGGAATTTCGTAAATTTAAAAATTTTATTTGACAGCTTTCAGACTACATTTTTAAAATACCACAAAAAGTATTTTTTTCGAATTTCTAAGATTAATACATATTAAATTTTTTTATTGACGGTATTTTAATATTAATCTGCAAAAAAACCTAATGAAACTATCAATTTTTCAAAATAGGTATTCTGTAAATGAGCCTACATACATATCTATAAACATATACTGATTTTTAAATACTCTTACATGTCTCAAGACTAATATAAAAATGTTTGGACTAAAGTGGCTCATTAAATACTTGCAAATTACACGTAAATAATTAACTACAAGTGTACCAAACAGAGCCAATGAAATTCACCACTGGCTTATGTGCTAAGTGCATGAGTGTTCTATGCACACACACCCACCCATATTCATATGCATACATACATAAATAAACTTAGAAAGCGATAAAGAAAATACATATTGTAAATAAATATGAAAAATCAACAAAACGGAGCAATAAATACATAACTAGTCTACATACATAGGCCAATGGTTACTTTCGTCGTAAAATACAAAAAAAAATACATAATATTTATGTAAATACATATGTATGTAGATATGTTTTTATGGAAAAGCTCGAAAGTTAAATGAGTTTGTAGAAGCGTCAAAAAGATTAGTTCGATACTGCAATTATGAAAATCTATATTTTTGCTCGAAATTTACAAACATACGTACGTATGTATATATATATGTACATACGTACATATGTATGTGCATTTTTTTCTTTATATGGTTGACTTTCAAAACGTGCATGTACAATGTTCCATAATGCCAAACTACAAAATGTTAACAATGTATACTTTTCCAAAACGCATCCGAAAAGTTATCGAAATGCATCGCTAGTGTAATCAATGCCATCACTAATAAAGTTGATGCTTCGTCCACTTTATGGGCTGTTTTTGCTTACGCGTAAAAGCACATTTAGCGCATTTAGCTCTAAATGCTGCTCTAAATGTACATTTATCCATACAAAATTCGTCACCTAAATGCAAGTAAATGCAACTCCATTTTTGCATTAAGAATCTAAATGCTAAAAGCAACCCCGTGATCTTCCAAAATTTTCACGATTCGAACATGGTTTAGTGAGAAAAAGTGGCAACATTGCATTTTCGAGTATACAGTGGCTAGCTGCGTTTCAGTGATCGCCGATCGAGATTTCATTTATTATTTTACATTATTTGGATAAAGAAAAGTTAAGAAAATTCAATATCGATTTGATGCTGATAGAAATCTGGACCAATTCTGTTTTGTTTCCTAATTAAGTGAGGAAATTTTAATTGACACACCGACAAATGAATGTATACATAAACAAATGGTCGGTCATGGTTAAAAATTTTTGTATTGAAGTTTTGGTTTAAAATTTATTTTTTCCTTTTCAGTAGGGTTTTTGCACATTATCTTCTGCGTGAGAATTGATCGTAATAGATACGGATCTAAATAAGCGACTGGAACACGGCTGTTTGTCAAAAGCATACGATTTCGAACTCGCGTAAATGTACATTTGCTAAATGCGGTAGCATGAACGCTCTTCGAAAACATATGTTCGAAAGTGCTAAATGTTGCATTTTAAATGCAGCAAAAACGCTGCATTAGGTTGCGATTGCTAGTTTTAAAATGGAAACTTCCGAAGTTGTCCATTGTCATACTGAATACTCAAAATATGCTATGTATACTATGGTTGCAATGTCTCGCAACTCTGCATATACAAACAGTATAAATACCGCAACGCAACAGTATCGAAACATTGTATTGATACGTTTTGGAAGTCAGCCAAACTTTGCATCTATGCATATGTAAGAAAAGTTAAGCATTCAGTTCTGCATTATTTTTAGCATTTTTGGTTTTATTTTAATTTTCAGAAAGTAGAATTTTCCAAAACGAAAAGATAGTTGCGCAAATGTCGTAGTGGTGTCGTAGTATTGTGTGTCGTACAATTTAAAAGCTTAAATAAATGTTTGGAGGACTTGAAACCATAGCCAACGATTTTTTATCACTGTGAAGATTCATATGACTTTATGGTACCTTGCGAGCCCCCTTAATTAACGTTTAAAGTTTACGACATACAAAAATACGACATTTACGACACCGTTGTGAATACCCCAAGTCATTAGTGGAATTCGCGCTTATGTGTATTCGTTGTCGTGTGATTTGTTGTTGCTAATGGTACAATAAATAAATTTCCAAACTAGAGGACATTGAGAGCGAAACAGCTGAAATTGGCAAGTTTTTACTGGATAAATTTTTACAAAAAAACAGCTGATCGCTTGTTGCTGGATGCAATTGAAACTAATGAGGAAACTGTTTATGGGCTTTTTATGGTTGAAACTGACAAAATAAACCTATTTAAGTATATTGCTTATATAGGAAGTTGCTGCGAATAAACAACCAATTTATCAGCTGTTCATAAAATTTGCAATTTATTACTGGATTTGCGTTCACGTACGTACTTTTTTGAATATTTTTTTTTTTTTAAGAGCGAACTCTCTGAAATTAAATTACTGGAGAGTTGCTGGCAAGTAGTTACTGGATAATTTTTACATGAACTCAACTCCAATTTTTTTTTTCAGGTACCGATGCCGATGTCGATTAATCGGCTGATGG